AACGTCTTCCCGGTTCCCGTCGGCGACTCCAACAATCCGTTCACTTTCTGGGCAACAGTTTTGGTGACAATTAAGACAATAAGTGGACAATTAGTGGTAACAGTGATGGCAGACCTGTTGACAGCAGTGGATAATACTCTTCATGTAATCCAATTGAATGTCATATGGTTTGTATGGGAACAACACCTCCACTCCCGAGATGGTCAGCGATTGCAGTTCCAGTGGTGATGTCATGTCTTGTTGTGATCACTAAATGGTGTGATAATCATCTGAAATGTGAGACAATTGGTTGTCATATGAAAAGCAACTCATGAGTGAAACCACTGTTTGTTTACTCGTTTGAAATTCAAACTTTGAATGCAGTGTTTGTGTCAATACAGTCAATACAGTCAATACAGTCCACACTCGGTGTCATCACTTCAATAGTGTTGTCAATATTTGGTTCAAATTACCAACTGTTCATGTCATCAATATCAGGGTCATATTAGTTGTTTAATTTCAAAATATAATAAAATTATCTAATATTACCATGTTATTATCTACTGATGGCTTAATAATATGTGAGTTAAACTGTATAAACATCATAAATGTGACAACTATTGCATAGCTATAAATTGATTATGCAATACATTACAGTCTACTCCAGTTATAGCTATTTAAATATTGTTTTTACATGTACTTGTTTAGTATAAAAAGTTTATTTTATAAATAATTTTGTAGTCATTGAAATAAAAATAATATTTAATTACCAAAACTATATTGCTTAAAACTAATTAGTATTTTAAGTGTACAAATTAATAGACAAAAATTATTACAGTAAAATATACCAAGTGTACCAAGGTAAAACATATACTAAATTACAATTGATTACAAAACTCATATAAGACATGGCTTTAGTGATTGGGAGTAATATACGTGCGGAGGGTTACGTTAGCGTGTGGTTTGGGAGGGGTAGTGGTGGGCGCCGGTGTCTCATTGAGGTTGGCTAACTTTTTGTGCTTTTTCTTGTGGACCGGTTTCTTAAGCTTTTTGGCAGCCGTTCCCTCGGAATTGATGGTATGAATGGAGTCGAGACTCAAAAAGGAGGAATCGGTGGTCATATTATCCTTCAATAACTCAGATTTGGTGAACAGATTGGACGACACATTTCGTCTGTGAATGACGGCAATGATGATGACAACGATCACTACGACACCATCGTATAGTACTCCAGAAGATTGTTCTGAATAGGAGTTGCCGTTAACACCACTCGTCTCATTGTCTTCAATTTATTGACGGCCCGATTATAAGTGGACTCAATATTCTTCAGGAGATGTCCCTCATCGCACACCACAATATGGGGACCGGGATCCTTAAAACACTTTCCGATGGCGTCCTTGAGCTCTGAAGATTGTGTCGATCCCTTCCGCGTCATCATTGATGAGAACTGTTGGACACCAATCACTAGAATTCCTCCCCTTTTGTACCATTCATCAAGTGTTTCCATTTTAGCTTCGGGTGTCTGTCCGGACATTATCTTATGAACCCGTTTGTAGGACAGACTGTTTTTATCGATCCAAATATAGAACTCATTCATCCAGTTCTCGATGGCATTCACGGGAGATATGATTAGTGACCGCTTGATGTGAGTCTTTAGGTCTTTGTGTGTCATAATTGTATGCAATAAAGCGATCACTTGAAGTGTTTTACCCAAACCCATGCTGTGGGCCAGTACAACACCGACACCCGGAGTGGTGGTCACCTGTCCGGCGTTGCCTATCAGCGAGTCGTACATGAATTGGATGCCTTCCCTTTGGTGTGGTTTCAGTGCTTTCACCAAATTCTTGTGGACTTCCACTGAATGTTGGGACTCGAGAACCAGTCTTTGAATTGTTGGCGCTTTGTTTTGGCTTTTCTTAGACTTCTTTGATTTCTTTCTTCACTTTCGAGCCATTGCTGAAGATTTGGATTACTTTCTGAAGTTCTGTCGATAGATTGGAAGTCGCGGTCGAGAATGAGTGAACTTTTTAAGAAATTTTAATATTTTGAGAATTTTTCAATTTATATCAAATAATTCAATAATCTTAACACAAGATTAAACAAAATTTTCAAAATAAATCTTTTATTAAATTGGAATCCATAATATCATATACAATCAGCTTGATGAGTTTATTGAACACAAACATATAAAACTATTCTGACACCAATTTTTAATATTTAGTATATTTGCCATAAATTTTAATTTTAAAAATTAATAAAAATTAATAATTACACAAAAGTTAATTCATTTACAAATAAAGTGATTGCTGTATAAATAATTAACTTCTTGTGGACAATAGATTGGATGATAAATATTTGGCATATTTTGGTTATAAGACTCGCGAGTAAGTGATTATTAAATGTCATAAGAATGGGACGAATGAGGGGTCGATCACAACAAGGCTTTAAACTGATCGCTGAATCGCAAGTCTCGCGGGAATGGCATGTTTTGGTCGAAACAGTCGTGCCTTTGTTCCGCTCTAATCCAGTACCCACACTTTCGGTGACTTTTAACTTCTTAAGCGATGGTCTCTTCAGTGACACGTCTGTGAGGACTCTCTTTCTGGTCGTGTCGGACATTGCCGTTCACTCTATGGTCATGTGATTTATGTTAAGTTTATTTTGACAACTTTCTTGTAGACCGTGGTTAACGCGATTGTCAGTAAAAGAGGGGTACTTTTTTTCAAAACTACTGTATTATAACTATCTCTTAAGAGTCTTAAGTTAAGACTAATAAAATTTGCGGGTATAGTTATACTGTATAACTTTCTATGTAACAATCACTTGAACAGCCAAATATTTTTGTGGATTTGAATTGGCTAAAACTATGTAAGTGCCACTTAACAGCTAAATATTTAACTTGCTACTTTTCACTTAAATACAGCGATATTTATTGGTTCAAAAACCGTCAGCACTATAATCATTTTGATTCGCTAAGCATATATTAATAGTCAATTGCAGTCTACAGTTTTACTAATAGTCTTTTACTGTACTTTCAATTTAATGTGACATGATTTAGCGCATACTCTATTGTACTTTTGCCTAATACTGTAATACAGTTCATAATTTATGAATCTTAACTCGTCAAGATTTGATTTGTC